AAAGAGGGCTACTTATATAATCACTAGTTAAATTTAATATGTTACCCATCTGGGCCTTTTTTTCTCAATTAGGAAGCAGCATTTTAAAAGTGAATACATAATGATATTTATTCTAGAGGCACCTGGGTGGCTCAGTCAGTTAAGCATCCAACTCTTGGTTTTAGCTCAAGTTGTGATCTCAGGGTCGTGAGATGGGGCCTGCATGGGGCTCTCTGCTCAGTGTGGAGTCCGCTTGAGATTCTCTCTCTCCCTCTCCCTTTGTCCCTCTCCCCATTCAAGCTCTCGCTCTCGCTCTCTCTCAAAATAAATAAATATAATCTTTTTTTAAAAAATAGGACATTCTAAAAGAGAGAGAGAGAAAAACAAATGAATATATTTGGTCCCTTCAATTTATATTACACTGCATTCAATTAGGATTAGGAAGAAAAATAATTTTAAGAGTTTGGTACCACGTGGAGAGATTTTAACCTTAATGAAGTATCAGAGACACTATGTGTCAACAGCAGAACACTAAGCAAGAGCTACTGTGGATAATTCACTAATATCAGAAAGGGAGATGTAAAATAAGGGACCAGAATATATCTTCAGAGTTTTTAGTTGTACTTATTGGGCTAAATAGGGAAAAGTATGCTGACTTCATCTTTCTAAAGTGCAAAAGAAATAGGATGTAAATGTGTGGATAGGTGAGAAAAGAACAATCCACAAATAAGAAATAAGAAAATAAGAAATCAAAATTCCTGGGGCACCTGGGTGGCTCAGATGGTCAAGCGTCTGCCTTCAGCTTGGGTCATGATCCCAGGGTCCTGGGATCGAGCCCCACATTGGGCTCCTGGCTCAGCAGGGAGCCTGCTTCTCCCTCTCCCTTTGCCTCTCCCCCTGCTCATGCTCTCTCTCTCTGTATCTCTGTCTCAAATGAATAAATAAAATCTTTAAAAAAAATATCACCTAGATTTCTACTCATGTTTCTTTCTAAAAAAAAGAAATCAAAATTCCTAAAAGTTTGAAACTGAAATGTTGGCAATATGTTTTTTAGAACAATACAGGATAAAACAATTATTCTCCCTTGGATTAATGTGTATACCAAAAATGTTGGCCTAAAAAAAAATGTAAAAGGAGTGTTTCCTGATTATGGGCTTGCTTTCAAGCAGCAACCAGACTGTAGAAAGAAGTAATGATTTCTTGACTCAGAATGCCAGTTAATTTCCATTCTAAACAAACTTTTCATTTCCAATTTGAAGGGCCTTGGTCTTAAATATGGAGAACAGATGAAATGTATGTGTTACACATATGCATATACTGAGACCTATCCATTCACCCAGCGACTTGGTGCTCAGAGAATCCACCTCTTCAAACATGGGCCAGAAGACCCAATTATGTAAATACTCTGGGGCCTTTCTGTCAATGTTGCATTTCAAATTTCTTTGACCAAATTTCTACAATGAGAAGCTTACTTCTGGAAAAAAAAAAAGCAGATTAAGAAATAGGGTGAATACACTGGTCAAGTGAAAACAATACTATTATGGAATTGGTAAATATTAGTAACAGTTTAAAAGTTGCCTATCATAAATGGGGATCATCAATGTTAAAAAAATTGTGATGTTTGATATTAAAATACTGTTTTTTCCAATTCAAGCAATATTGTTGGAAATTTGCTACATTTCTTCATTAAACTCTCAAGGTGATAGACCAGGTCAGCAATGTCAAAGACTCACTGCTGGCCCCATTTGATTTCTGGATTCAAACTCATGAGCTGGGTAGCCTTGGTAAGTGGCCTAACTTGCTGGCAATCTGAGTCTGAGTGTGCTCCTCTGAAAAACTGGAACTAAATGACAACATACATAAGAAGTTATTTTAACAATGTTTGAGGTTATTTTGTAACCTAGAGCGAGGTAAATTCTCTAAGGCTCTTTCCTTTAAAAGTAGACAAAAATATATATAGATCATAAAACAAAAAAAGTAATAAAAAGAAGTATGTTAAATATACTGGAACTAAAATAAAAAAACTTAATAAAAACAAAATTAAAAAAGAATATATAGAGCATAAGAGCGTTGATATTAAATGAGATCTTATATTTTAATGGCCCAGCACTACAAATGTGACATATTTGAAGTTATCAGTAAATGGTAGCTATTATAATAGACATTACATCTGTAAAAACGAGCGAACAACTAGAAATTTATGGTTAGGTAAGTAAAATATAAATTAAAATTACCTTTTTGTCTATCAGTTACAGAAATATTAAAAATAATAATATATACTGTTGGCTATAGAATAATGAAATGAGAATGTGTATGCACTTCAGGTAAGTGAGAATGTAAATTGATATAATTTTTCTAAAGGACAATTTGGCAATGTATATAAAAGATTTAAACAATAAACATTCTCTTGACAAGCCATACTAGGAATTTACTCTAAGCCATTTTAAATGTCCAAAGATGAACGTGTACATACAAACTGCAATATTGATTATATATCTTAAAAAAACCCTATTTTTATTTTTTTATTTTTTTAAGATTTTATTTATTTGAGAGAGAGAGAGCAGAATCGAAGGGGGGAGCGGCAGAGAGAAAGGGAGAAGCAGACTCCCCTCTGAGCAGGGAGTCTCAGATGGAGCTCAATCCCAGGACCTTGGGATCATGACCTGAGCCGAAGGCAAACACTTAACTGACTGACCCACCCAGGCACTCCAAAAACCTGATACTTAAAAATAGGTTATACTTGAATTAAGGTATGGTACAATCACACAATGGCTTTTATGAGAACATATTACACATTATGATATGATTTTAGAGACCTAAACATAGCCAGTGTAAAAAAATAATGCCAACACAGAGTGATTGTCTTTTTTTTTTTTTAAAGATTTTATTTATTTATTTATTTGAGAGAGAATGAGAGAGAGCAAGCACATGAGAGGGGGGAGGGTCAGAGGGAGAAGCAGACTCCCTGCCGAGCAGGGAGCCCGATGCGGGACTCGATCCAGGGACTCCAGGATCATGCCCTGAGCCGAAGGCAGTCACTTAACCAACTGAGCCACCCAGGCGCCCCTGTCTTCTTTTCTAAGGAAAGAAAATAGCTTCTATCCTAATTTAAAACTGAAATGAACACATATATGCTCATATATCTCTCTCACACACACACACACACACACACAAGCTCATAAGAGTCTCAATATTTTAGTTAATATTTTATTTGTTTTCTTTTGAACAAAGCTTTCTTTCTGAAATATAATTCAATTCAATATACCACTTACGTGCACATAGTAAGACATAGCCAATTCATGTCTTTCATTTGCTTTCAGCTTTCAGTGCTCTATTAAGAATTTTTAAATCATAAAATCATATATCATAGTACTTGAGTGTCTTGTGGGAGATGACCTTTTGGTGGATTAAAGGTTTGAATCCTAATCTAAGAAACACAGTTGAGCTGTATCGATATGAAACACGTAATGCAAGGCCACATAATTAATAAATGAGTCTCTGAACTTTTTACTAAATCAAACTAAAAAATTGTACTTCAGAGATCCTATGTTGCTATGGCTCCCAGTGCATCTAAAAATGATGATATAAGATCATGTCCTCGGCTTTTCAGGAGAGTTATAATAAATATCCAGATGTGTCTTTCTCTGTTTTTACCTCTCACTGCTAGGGAAGCTTTTATACATGATGTGCAAAGCTTAATGTAAGATGTTCTCAGATCTCAGGACCAAGAAAAGGTGGCGCCTCTCCTGACGGTTTGATTCCTTTTAGAAAAGAGCCATCACACAAACCACTATTTTCCCTTTTGACCTAACTAGTAGGAAGAATTGTTTTGTTGAAACAAACATCAGCCTTTCTCTTCACGGATCTCTCCATATGCCTTTCCTCACCCACCACCCCTTTCTTCACATGACTCATGGAAGAGGAGGCAAGGAACAGCGCTGATGCAATCAGGAAGAGCTATTTCTCCTTAACAACTTAGTGGAACTCCCCAAATCAAGGCATGCTGCCTCTGACAAGTTTTCCCTTGCAATGTGTGACCTTTTCAAAAATCCCATGTGATGACTTTTATTATTCTTACTTCCATTATTTCAATCAATCTGTAAACTGAGACAGAGAGGCATAAGGAGTTGATCAGAATAAAGTAATCAGTAATGGAGCTGCTTCTGTCTCCAAAATCTATGATTTATGCATTTTCCACTGCACTATGTTCTTCTGATATAAAAATATACTGTGGTGTGAGTTCAGTCTTTACAGATCTTTATAAAGAAGAAACCATCTAATACAAATCTCCTTCCTTCCAGCCTGTATTTCCCGAATTGTTCCTATACATGGGTATCCAAGACATTCTTCCAGAATTATGATACAGAATAAGTAATTTATGATTTCCCACTTTTAGGGTACTAACATTATTTTCTATGCAGTGCAAATAATTCAATCCTCTATCTATAAGAACAATAATTCCCCCTTTATTAACATGACAGAGAAAACAGAATTTACAATCTGTGAAAATTCTTCTGGTGGTGATTGCGGTAGAAGTGTTGAAAATAAATGTTCCCACCATTTTACGTGCCATACCTAAGAAATGAATTAACTCACAAGAGTGAGGTCACCGGCCTTGTCTCTCACTGTTGCTAGCTGCCAACAGCCGTGTTAATTCCACCAGAAACTGCATGTTACACATTTGTAAGTCATTGGTCCTTACGATAACTTAACACATTAGATCCAGCAGCCGACTGAACCTTTAGTATTTACTCACAGTTAGAATTGTATTGGCTATAGGGTGGTTTTTTCATCAAATATTTTGTCTTTATAACAGTCAGATAATTCCGATCTAGTGATGAGTCAGTATCATCCCATAGCATTTTAAGTCATATATAAACTGATTATATTATTTTTGATTTTCAGTAGCATCCTTCTTCATAAAGTAACCAACCATGCTTCCGTTATACTTCTTAAAATAGTATATCACTTAATAATCTTCAGGTATGTTTTGGCATTATAATCTTTATCCAATATCTTACCTCAGCTCTTAACTGGTAGATCAGTCTATCCTTGCTGTTTTGAGATTTTGATTCTTCCTTTATATCTCCTGATAGTTCTTCCATTTCATTTTCATGCTGACCAGGAATAATGTTAAACTGAAAAAAAAAAAAAAAGGTTAAAATTATAATCACATGATGCTACAAAGGCTGGCTCCAGGATAATCCACATTAGTCTTTCGTTTTGCTTTTAGTTTAGTTTAGTTTTTTGTTTGTTTGTTTTTTATGTGGATTCTGGCAGGTTTTATTGTTGCTGTGGTAATTAATGTAGTTAAACCATTTATTTATTTGAAAAATTCTCGGTTATTAGAAAACAAATCAGCAAATTTCCATAAATTCAAACTCATCAATTGAAAAAATTGGGCAAAACTTGGTTACCACAAAGAATCCTGGAAATTGAACAACTGGATTCTAAACAAATCCAATGAATACTGATCTTTTTTTTTTTTTTAAAGATTTTATTTATTTATTTGACAGAGAGAGACAGCGAGAGAGGGAACACAAGCAGGGGGGGTGGGAGAGGGAGAAGCAGGCTTCCTGCCGAGCAAGGAGCCCGATGCGGGGCTCGATCCCAGGACCCTGGGACCATGACCTGAGCCAAAGGCAGACGCTTAACGACCGAGCCACCCAGGTGCCCCAATTAACACTGATCTTACAGTCTTGAATATCTGTAATACAGGACCCTTTGTAATCCTATTTAATGTCTATTTTTTATGAAGTCTAAGGAGTATATAGATTATAACAGAGGCAAACTTGGGCAATGGAAAAATACATCTATACAATGCTAGAACTGGTAAAAATATGTTTGTTAAAGATGCCAATAAATCAGCAGGAAAAGAGGATAAATAAACTATGGCATATCCAGATAATGGAATATTATTCAGCACTAAAAAGCCAAGAAAAGACATGGAGGAAACTTAAATATATATTACTAAATGAAAGAAGCCAATCTGAAAAGGCTATTTACTGTATAATTTTAATTATGTGACATTCTGGAAAAGGCAAAACCATGGAGACAATATAAAATCAGTGGTTTTCAGGGCTGCAGGGAGGAAGAGATGAATAGGTGGAGCATAGAGATTTTTAGGGCAGCGAAACTATTTGGTATATCACTGGTGGATACATGTCATTATACATTTGTCTAAACCCAGAGAATGCACAACACCAAGAGTACACGCTAAGGTAAACTATGGACAGTGATGTGTCAATGTAGGTTCATCATTTGGAACAAATGTACCACCATGGCGGAGGACACCGATAACAGAGAAGGGTGTGCTTAAGTGGAGACAGGCAGCATACGGGAAACGTATGTAACTTCCACTCAATTTTGCTGTGAATCTAAAACTGCTCTAAAAAATAGTCTACAAAAAGAAACATAGGAATGTGAGAAAAATACTGGAAACGCACAGTAATTTCCCCCCCAGCTGTTCTTATAGTTTTCAGCAGAAACACAAATTTTGATAAACCTATACAATGTGTAATACATACACATATGTTTGTTTTGGTAACTTATATTTTCCCCTAAAATATGTAGGTAAATATTTTCAGAATTTATATAATTTGTAAGTAATCCCTCAATAAATTAGAAAATAAAAGCAAACATTATACTACCTATTTATCATTAAAAATTATTACTCATAACATTACCATTGTTAATAGTAATATTAAGTATGCACTAGTCTCTAGGAACTGGACTTGATATGTATTTCCTTAGTTAAAGGTAGAGTAATCCTGTGTTAGGTACTATCTTTACCTTAAAGGAAAATAAGCCGTATTTTTGCTAGGCTTAAGTAACTTCCCCAAATTCACATAGCTAGTAACCGGAAGAAGCACATTTTAAGGATGTTCTTGCCAAATTCATTACCTGAGTTCTTAGTCATAAACCAGCGGCTAGCTACATCTATACTTATAAAGATAAAAGCCATCATATAGCTTACTGGAAGGCAAAAAGCTTATAGCCACATGCTAGAAATGAACTACAATGGTGTTAGGGGGCTGATATGCCAAGTACAGAGAGGCTCCTTGTTCAGAGGTAGTAACATGGAGAACGCACCATGGAAGGCAAGTGTGGAACAGGACACAATACCATGGGGTTCAGCCAAAGTCTGTCTATGCATGTTTCACCCCACTTTGATGTAAAGACACAATGTGGCATTCATCTCTGGCTAAAATAAAATAAAGTCACTTTGCTAGAGAAAATAATGAATTGCAAGGAGAAAATCAAAGCAATCAAAGCATCAGGTTTTGGTTTGAGTTCACCTAAGTAAAATCCAACTCATTCTGGTAATTGAATGCCCTTAGTTTAACTTCTGAAATCGTGACCTTTAATTCTCAGGGAATCAGATCAATCAATAAGCTTTCTCACTGTCAACAGGACTGCAATCAACGTTACCACTCAAAGGAGAGAGGAGGCAGGAAAATAAATTTTCATACATAACAGTATGGGAAATTCACACCAATTACCTAAAGTAATTCCATTTTCATTTTTCACTGACAGTGGAAAATCAAGGATCTCCGGACATAAGAAGAAACCAAGAACATGAATAAAATAGCCAAGATTAAAAAACACAATGTCTGATAGAAAAAAAAAAAGACAGATGAATGGTATATTTTAAGATATGAAAGAAAATGTTATTAAAAATATAATCATTATGTTTGGAAAAAATGAATATATATTGCACTCATAAATTAAGGACAGAACAATTTCAAAATTTCAAAGAATAAAAGGAACATTTTAAAATGTGTCTAGTAATCCCTTCCTTTAGAAAAGTTTGCCAAAAACATTGGAAAATAGAGTCAGAGGCTGAAGTGTCTCGAAGCTCAGTTCTTGGACCTGTTCGCTTGATGCATTCACTCCTTTGGACAACTGATGTGCACCCACAGCATTGCATACTAGTCAAAATTCTGACAATCTCCAAATGTCTAGTTCCAGCCTGTAGGTCTCCTTTGACCTTCGGACCCAACATCCTACTTGTCACTTCTATAGGTATCCCAAACTTAACACATTACAAAGACAAATGAAGAACTCCCCTAAACCAGTTTCTCTGCCAGTCTTTGCCATTTCAGGAAGTACCAACTCTATCCTTCCCTTTGATCAGGCCAAAGATACTGGATTTATTTTTAACTCCTTTCTTTCTCTGACATATCATATCCAAACTAAAATCAAAATAATTCAATTTTGCTTTCAAAATATATAATAAATCCAACCACTTCTCTACCTCTGACTCCTACTGCCCTGATCAAATACCACCATGGTCTCTCACATCAGTTATTTTAATAGCTGCCATAATCTCTGCTTCTCCGTGTAGCTCTGTAGTCCCTTTCCCAAAAGAGCAGTCAAATAAAGCACTTTCAAAGTAATTCAAGTCACGTAACTCTGCCGCTCAAATATTTCCAGTGGCCTCCCAATCCATTCAGAGTATAAGTCAAAGTCCTTATCATCTGCCTGGTCCTGGAACCCTTCAATGTTCTTCTTCTACTCCTACCCCTTATTCTATCAGTCACTCTGGCCTCCTCACTGTTCCTATACACTCCAGGCAGGAAACAGCAAAAAATAAAATAAAAACAGTAAATGAAATATTGTACAGTGAAGGCAATTGAAACAATATAACAGGAAAAAAAAACCCGATGGCCAGATTAATAAAACAACTATAATTTTCCCTATGAAAATTGGAGTTATTTTGATCATTTTAAAATTATACTTTGGACTCAAAATCACCTTAATTTTGCCACTTACCCTATTCAACCTCAGATTCAGATTAATGGAGTTATAACTAAAATCTAATTAGCAGCTGAAAAGTTGAAAGCTGTAGATGTGTAGATATTAAAGATTATTCATTTAGCAGAATTATGAAAGTCATCCACAGGTGACATATCACATTACTTAAATTGAAAGTGACAGAAATAGAAGGTACCTGAGGAAGTGAATGAGTCAGCATTAGAAAGCATTTTCCAAGTTCAGGTCCTTTTATTTAATAGTTATTTAAGTATAGTCTCTATAAGACTTTTTTTTTTCTGAAATTGCATCATAATTCCAAAATTCCTCTTTAAAATTCCTCTTTTCATACTGCAGTATTTGTGAAAGGTTAAACCAGGCAACTTGTCACATCTCTGACTTCAGAAATATTTGCCATAATTTGCTTCTGGAAAATTAGCAACACTATATGTAAATATTCATTCTCCTACATTCAAATTAGCATGGAGTGGAAAATCTTTTTGAAGATGATTCTGGAAAACAAAAATATTGTGTAATTTACAAATAAAAATATTTTCTTACTCAGATCAAGTACGGAAGGAAAATTTCATTTCAAAAATGGCACAAAAATATAATCTAATCTAACACACCCTGTTATTTTGATTTTGCCTCACATTTTATCCTTCAAAATAATCTAAAATGATTAGGTAGTTTATTGCTTATCCCAAAGATCTGGCCTTTGTGAAATATTGTGTTCAATATTTACGTCAATATTATTAATAATACAACACCAAACCCATAATTTCTCCCATAACTCTCAACAAATGATCTTGCAGCTTCATTCATGGAAAAGCAGAAAAGCTATACATAGGAAAGATCTTCAACTTCTTGTAACGCAATCTACAAATTTTCATGCATCTATACAAATCTTTCCTTTTTTCCTCTTGTTAAAGAACTTAAATACCCTTCCTAGAGTCAAACACTAATCATTCCATTTGCAGTCAGGATTTGGTAACTTTGGGGTACTTGGCTAAACTCATCTAAGAATTGTTCCTCTCCTGGCTTCACTTATTTGTGGAATTAAGGAATAGCATGGAAGACATTAGGAGAAGGAAGGGAAAAATGAAGGGGGGGAATTGGAGGGGGAGATGAACCATGAGAGATTATGGACTCTGAGAAACAAACTGAGGGTTTTGTGGGGTGGGGGGGTGGGGGGGATGGGTTAGCCCAGTGATGGGTATTAAGGAGGGCACGTATTGCATGGAGTACTGGGTGTTATACACAAACAATGAATCATGGAACACTACATCAAAAACTAATGATGAACTGTATGGTGACTAACATAATAAAAAAAAAAAATAGAATTTTTCCTCTCCTGGATTTTCAAGATCTCTTGGTTTCTCCC